GTATGCAAAAAGGGTTTGCCTCGATGTTTAGTGGGTTACTTTTCTCAGTTTTCTGTCTTGTGTTATTGAGTGAGATTTAAGTTCAAGTTATGTGAGGATCTAGGAGCAGAGAAGTAGGAAGAACCAAGTTAAACTGATAAGATGCTCAACTTGGCTTATACGTTGGTTTGATTTGATACATATTTAACAAATTATTCTCTACCATTAATGTTACAAAGAAGCCCCGAACCGGGTCTTTAGCCACAACGGTTAAACCACAAATCTTAAGTGTTTAGGTGAGGTGGTTAAAGTTTCGAACTCTACTACCGTCGTGAACTCCACTAAAAAGCGATCTGATAGCCACACGCCTCATTTGAGGGGGTGAAATGTTCACTCGGTCTGGGGATCGAATCTCCAGTTGCTAACAACTAATTCATACTAACTTCCTAACTATTACCTTTATCAAAAAAAAAAAAAAAATTTACAAAGAAGCCAAATGCATACAAATTAAGCGATCACATCACTTTACTAAGAAGAATAAAAGTCTTCCTCAACCATCTCTTTCATGAATTAATTGTGCCTCTCCCCATTCATTTAGTTTATCAGAATGCACATCAGAAAATTTTTCAAGATTGAAACTAAATTATATTGGCCTTAACAAAAAAAAGAAAAAAAAAAAAAAGTCAAGAAGGCGTTTTGTTTCTTTCTATTTTGCCATCTTCAATTGAAGCCATAGACATCTCATGTGAAGACATTCACATTTGATATAAGACATCAATTAAGGTTGGAGCAAATTTGCTGGGTGATCATCCACACAAATACTTAATAATAAGTTTTTTTTCTTTTTTCTTTTTTTTGGTCATAGCACACAGCAATAAGTTAATAAACAAAAAATGGGAAAATGTTTGAAAGATGCTTTTAGCTTTCAACCAAACCAGGATATCAATTGATATATCATTCTATTTAATATATTCTATAACATATTTATTAAAAATTATTTTTTAATATGAAATTAAAGATAAATAATTTTAAAAATGTAATTATGCATACAATATACCAAAATTAACTGAATCAATTATATTTATTTTATAATTTAATAACTAAAGTAGACATTGTTAAAAAATATGTAGAATCGAAAAGTATACCAATGTATAATTTTCCTTCAAGCTGTATAATTAATCCTTTCTCCATTTTCAGTTTCAGGAGGAAGGATATTATGTATGATTTTTATTTTCAGGGGTTTGCTAATGACAGGTTGATACGGGAATTTCTGTTCAGCCCTTTATTCTTCTATTATCAACCTTTGGGTTGTGGATGACTGCTACCACAAACCAAGTCATTCTCCCAGGATTCCAAAGGAACTTATTCCTCTGCCAAAAATGCTGTGCATCTTAATCCAAAACCAATCTTGTCAATAAAAATCCTCCTTGTTTTCGTTTTTCCTAATATGGCTTTCAATCTTCACACGGAACTAGGTCCTAAAGAAATAATATGTGAATATCAGACGTACAAACAAGTATATACATATTAGATTAAATTTAACTCTTAATTTCATACGTTTCATACATATGTTCCTTAAATTTGAAAAAAAAAATCCATACAAGAAATGTTTTTATAGTTAGAACTTAAAACTTTTAAATTAAAAATACAAGTTTAAATATTATAACAAGCCATTCCAAATTTTGAAGAAAATGACTAGTACTTCTTATTATTACATTGCTAGAATGTACTTAAAAAAGTACAAGTACTATCTAACGACCTAATTAACTCAATAATTATCTTATTTCATAGGAAGTAAGAAATCTTGTGTTCGAGTAACATGACATGCAAATAATGTGGGATAAGGGGTGAGAGATGATTGCCTTCCATTATGTAACAAAGATAAAAAAAAAATGCAAGCAATAAGAGGGATGAAATGGGGTAAAAGGAATTAAATATACTAGTGAAAAGTGAATAAAGGAGGAAAGGGTGTATTGATATTTAAATATTAGAATCCTGTATTATAATTCAAGATTTTTAATATCAAGATTTTTAACAGGGGAGGAGAGGACTTAACATCAAAGGACTCTCTCTCTTTTAATTGTTATGTATTATAGTCCATCACATAATCAATTGTAACACAATTTTTTGTTTAAATAAAATGAATACTAATATTTGACAACTAATAATTGATATTAATTACAATAAAAATATTTAATCTATTTAATTAAGAGCAATAACTAATAGCTATTCATTAAACTTGAAAAAGATTGGAAATTTGGCATTGATATGGTGCAACTTATTTTCTTTTATAAAAAAAAAAAAAAGAAAAAGAAAAAAAGAGTACGGCCTAGAAAAAGGGTAATAATCTGGGCCCTCTTAGCCTGAACAGATTAGGCCTAACATTAACCCGGGCCTAGAAAGATCGGCCCAACAGAAAATCACAAATTTGGCATTGATATGGTGCAACTTATTTTCTTTATAAAAAAAAAAAAAAAGAGTACGGCCTGGAAAAGGGTAATGAATCTGGGTCCTCTTAGCCTGAACAGATTAGGCCTAACATTAACCCGGACCTAGAAAGATCGGCCCAACAGAAAATCACAAACTCCCGCTCGAATTCAAAACCAAAAATTCAGAAAAACGCCCAAACCGCATCTAATTAAACAAAGCCAAAAAGGAGAGGACAGAGGCAGACAGAGAGCAAAAAAAATGGCGGACACAGAGCTGATCCTAATGATTCTCTAACAATTAAAATATTAAAAATAATAATTAAAATATTAAAATATTTTAATAAATTAATTTATAAATAATTTATTTAAAATATTTAAATAATTTTATAAAAAAAATTTTATCATTTAAAAATGTATGATGTATCCTCTTTATCTATTTCTAACTATTTCTAAATCATTTTACTTTCCTAAAGCATTAGTGTACAGGCTTGCACCGTGGCAGCAGGGCGCCCATTGAATCTTGAAACGCTCCCTGGCGCCGTGTCACACCCACAGCAGGCACCGAAAAAACAAAAAAGAAGCGCTTTTTATCTCCCTCTAGAATTCAACAAAACAACTCTTCTTCCCCTCCAAAATTCCCTCCACCAAATCAAATCCTAAAAAAACCAGAGACATTTCCAAAACCTCTTGAATTCAAAATCTCTATTTTTCTCCCCTCCAAAACCCACCATTATACATGTGCTCCCTCTCCCCTTCTTCCTCCCCAACTTCATTCCTCACTCTTCGCCTCTCTCACCCAAAACCCAATGGCTGCCTTCCCCATTTCCCAACATGATAACAAGGAAAATATCCCTCCTTTCCCTCCTAAACAATCGCCATTGCCTCCTCCTCCTTCAAGACCTTCCTCTTGCAAAAACCACAGAGGGAGACCCAGGAAGCCGCTTGAAGACGTTACCCATCTCTTAGTTAAAGGCATCGCTCCTGGCAACCAAATTCACTTATCTTCCCATTCTTTGGGTAATCAAGTTCAAGGCAGATATGGGAAGAAGAAGCCTCTTGCTTCAGGGCTTGATTCAATGTTGGTGCATAAGAGTAGAAATTTCAGATAGTTGGCACCTAGCAGCCAACAATTTAGGGTTCTTTTTTTTTTTTTTT